CGAGAATAAATACATTTGTAACCGCATGATATTAATTGGAAACGGAATTGATAAAATAACAATGCTACCAGCTAATATTATTCGTGAACAGGAAAATTTCTTATTTTTATATGCCAACGCGAATGTGAGCACGAATATTCATATGTGGTTGAGAATACGTAAAAATTGTGAATAGCAGTGACCAAAATACGTTGCATTAGATTATTTTAGACCGCTGAGTTTTAAAATAAATAACTAAAAAATGTTTTCTTGATTTCTGAGCTGGACTTCATAGAATCCCTTCTTTGTACTCATACAAGTTTAAGCGTGCTATCTCTAAAAATAATCGTAAACTTTGTGTTAACCACAACAAAAGAGTTTGATATTGTCTAACGTTTTCTGAGAAAACCTAATGAATACAAAACAATACGCTATATTCATAAATAGACACGTTGAATGAAACCTTAAAAATCGCTTATATGTTATCCGATTCCAGGTAAACTTGAAAAAAAAGCATGAGCGTCTCATACAGAATTCCAGTACGTATATCCTTTATGTTAATGGTTATTCGAAGGTTTCGCGGTAACAGGTGGCGGACAGGGGTTATTTATTCTATGGGGGAATATTTTAACCGTCACTTGTTGCGACTATTCGTTTATTCGGACCATAAAAATTAAATTAGTGTAATTGCTTAAGTTGTTGTTGCTTGATTGTGCACGCTAACACTTTGTTTTTAATAAATAAAAAAGCAATTTTCACTTGCTAAGGTGATTTGGTATTTACTTATAGCATCTACGGATCCAGAAGAGTGTGCTTTTTAAGTGTTGATAGGTAAACAAGTGCACAGTTTTCCAAATTTTTAGGTTATATACATAGAAGCAATTAAGGTGTATACGCATATTAGACGTTAATATCGTCTCCCTTTTGACACACGAAGTCGAAATGATATTAGGGGAAAAACATCTCGATCTTTAAATCGAAAATACATGGTAGGTATTTCTTGGAAGAAATAGACAGAATTGTGGTCCATATTAATGTGGTCCCCATTAATTCTGATGAACAGAAATTAAGAAAACTTATGGTATTGATAATGTTCTTCATCGTGGAAGTTGAAGTTTTTCGTGAACAAGCGTTACTTAAGTACAAAATTATGTGGAACAACCCGTACTCGTTTAGAATATAAAATGCCCAGGTTGAATAATAGTAATATTTAAATGGTACTGAAATTTAGGGCTACGAATACTTCAATACTCTCATAATTTGGACTATGGGTCGCCGTTGACTGGTTAGCGACGTCTGATATTAATATCAATAGATATTATGAATTTAATTCGAAATCAATGTCAGTACCGGACGCTTAATCAAGTTGCTAAAATTTTTCGACTGATAGAGATAAAGACTCATTATTCACACTGTTAACAAAAGGTGGTGCATCTCTTCTAGAACAGTCAATGAATATGGCAACAGACTGGCGAGCCACAATGGCGAACCAGAACAAAAGCTCGCACCATTTTTACCTCGTCCATTGTTCGTTTGAACTTGGTTGGCGTGACGTAAACGGCGCGTGCGCAGTTTCGCATTCAAATGTACGTCTTTTATTGCACATAATTACTCTAGATAATATGTATTACCAATAATAATTATTTAGAGACTGCTTTGATCGTTGTCTGCGCTGGTAATCCTTAGTTATTTTTATTAATCATCTTTTTACGTAAGAACAATAAAATAATAATTTATTTATGTTGTAAGCATCTGAGTATGTACTGAAATCTACTGATCGTGTTTACAGAAGTTCATTATTTAATTTTATATGAGAACACTTTACAGTGACTAAGCTTCCAGAAAAATCTTTAGATTTATAGTAAGCTAAGCGAAAACATTATTTTAAATGTGTTTTTGAAAACGCTCGATATGCCTATCTATCTACCTATGTCACCCTTTCCTTCACTGAAGCGTGGAGGAGGGTTCTCCCATAATGCGGTAAAAATGTTATTTTACAAACGGTCCTGTGGCACTGACGCGGAAAATGAACGTTTTGCGTATTAAGTGTACCACATATCGTATTACGTGTGCCATTTTGTATTTTTTTCGAAATAGTTATAGTTGTTGAGGAAATTTAGTAGTAGAAGTAAAGTAGAAAAGCATTTTAAGGTCATGATTTTGGTAGGTAGAGCGGAGATTTTTACTGGTGGTAGGACCTCTAGTGAGTCCGCACCGGTAGGTTTCACCGCCCTGCCTATTTCTGCTGTGAAGTAGTAATGCGTTTCGGTTTGAAGGGTGAGGCAGCCTTTGCAACCATACTGAGACCTTAGAACTTATATCTCAAGGTGAGTGGCGCATTTACGTTGTAGATGTCTATGGGCTCCGGTAACCACTTAACACCAGGTGGGCTGTGAGCTCGTCCGCGCACTTAAGCAATAAAAAAAAAGATGGTTTTAATGGATTCGAAGTAATGGTGATATATTGTAATAGATCGAGATACGTGTCGGTTCGTGAACGTAGGCGAGAGACCTTTGCTCAATGACGGCGGCGCGGCGCGGTGCGGTGGTGCGCGGGCGCATCATCTCATTGAGCGAGCACCGGATGAGCCAATCAGCGGCGTGAATGGACGCTCCCGCGTATGCGCGCTCCTCGGTGCTCTATTAGCTCCCGACGTACTAGATGCCACTGTTTCTTTGTTGCGTCCGTAAATTGTTATGACTTTTTATGGCCACAAGAATGTGTTGAGTCGTAAATCCGTTGTTTGTTGCCTCATTGATAGCACCATTGTCCGTCTTATGAGAGAGACTATTCAAATACGATACCGGGCTACTGGTTTTGACCGGCAGCATTTTTTAACTCGTTAGCTCGGAGGTGACACGTCCGCCGTCCGGTCGGTGAGTGCGCGTTGTTTGTCTATAAATTGTTTGATTCAGGGTGGTAGTCTTTCAGCTTTTGACGCGACGCTAACGACACTAAACAAGCAAGCGAGTTAATAGATTAAACACTGGGACACCTAGTACCGGAAGAGGGTAATAAGAGTCAATTTAGATGTTTCGAATACGCGGATGTCTCGGATATTTAGAATATTGCGTCCTAACCGTGAAACGATGTTCTTGGTGCGACTGTTTTAAATTTCGTTAACAGATTTGAATGTAAGGAATTTTGATTGCAGTACATACTAAGCTCCACATTTTCAATATACTGTTTGTATGTATACAAACAATGTATCGAGCGTTCGAGTTACAAGCACGCACATTTCAAGGTCTTTACTTTCAAGATCATCAGAGCATGCGCGAGGAGTCAGTCATAATTACGGTAATGGTCCGTCGCGATTGCACAACAGCGCGCCCTAGGTCCGCCACCGGACACGCGATGTTTCAAAACATGAAGATCATCTTCAGAGAAAATTGATGTTAGGAAACAGTTTATGACATCTGCTCGGCGTGACGATGAAATAATAACGAGATGATGGTATTCATGAAACTTATGTACATTTGAAAAGGCCAATTTGAAGCAAAAATGAAACCACATTGGTTTTGTTTATGATTGAAGTATTACTGGTGGCCCGGAGGCCTTTCCAGTTTCACCAGGACAAGTGAGCGAGCAAAGGATCAGCCAGGAGAGGTGGGATTTGCTAACAGCTGAACCATATTGTATTATAATTGAAGTACTCGTAAAGAAACGTACTGATTAATTTGTTTTTGTTATTTAACCAAATTATTTGAATATCACACACTGCAGCTATAAGCAGCGTAAGAAAACCTGTTAAAAAATTTTTTTTTGCAGCAACAAGCAACATAATTATATACAGCATACATAATGCTGCGGCTGCGTAACGTGTTGGTAAACTATGTGTATCGTTGTGTCAAGCGTTAATAGCTCATGTGTGAAAACGAATCGGAAATTCAATACCTTGCAAGTATGATACACAATAATTGAGTAAATAAACGTTTTCATACGTGTATTTCTTTTGGTCACGGCGCGTTCATATCGAGGGCAAGTGCACGTGAAACCGAGAGCGCTACGGAGTTGCGTATTTTACGTTTCCATACGTTCAGTGTGCTTAGTGTGAGTTTTTTAACGTTCTCGATAGCGTAAAAGTTAGCTCAAATTTGTATGGAATGGGATCGTTTGCGTACGTTTAGGTACGTCTGCGTACGCACAGGTAGGTACCACCGCCCCGCCTATTTCTGCCGTGAAGCAGTAATGCGTTTCGGTTTGAAGGGTGGGGCAGCCGTTGTAACTATTCTGAGACCTTAGAACTTATATTTCAAGGTGGTGGCGCATTTACGTTGTAGATGTCTATGGGTTACAGTAACCACTTAACACCAGGTGGGCTGTGAGCTCGTCCACACACATAGGCAATAAAAAAAAACCTTTGCCGCTGGGGCGTTTTTCGAACTGCATACAAAATTGTGTTAACTTTCACGCTATCGAGAACGTTAAGAAACTCGCACTAAGCACACAGACTTCGAAATTAAATTCGTTAGGGAATTATTGCGTATCAAACATATTCAAGAATATTGTTATTAAATAACAAAAAAAGCGTCTCTTTTTCTTGTGTTTTTTTAAGATCCGAACGAAGAAGATCCGACAAGAAACTCAGCGGGCTGTAGCGCCTCAGTGCTCGTCCCTATCACCTGAAAAATCCGCGTTTACCTACAGTGGTCTTTTTTACCATATGCAAATACTCCGTTTCCCGTTTTTTTCCGAACGTTATAGCCATTAACCCATAGACACAGCCCACTGAATTTCTCGCCGAATCTTCCCAGTGGGTCGCGTTTTCGATCCGGTGGTAGATTCTGCGAAGCACTGCTCTTGCAAGGGCCAGTGTTAGCAACACTGCCGGTTTGAGCCCCGTGAGCTCACCTACATTTTAGGGTGAAGCTGAAATAGCCTATCCAGGCTATCAGCATAGTTAAAAAAAAAGCGTTATAACCGTTCCTTTTCAAGGAAACTTCAGAAGTGTTTTTGGACACGAGTGATCCCGGTAATCATCTGTCTTCGACAATATAAACTACACTATTAAAGAAACTCACCTTTTGGCTTATTGAAAGCTTTCATCATGACTTTGATTCCCATGCCTGCGATAGCCGATGCCTCCACTATGCTTTGCCGCTGGTTAAAGTCCTGTTCACATCCAGCGACTATCTCGTCGATATTATTTTGTATGTATTTACAGTTTCTTTTAAACTAACTTAATTTTTTAAATAAGATCAATAAATATCACACAGTTTCGGCACAACGTCCATTGATCAGTCTAAACACTCCTCGCTGTTTTTCATTTTGCTTATGTCTTATATCACGTCACTTTTAAAATGTTCGTCGTAGTCGTATCATACATCGTTTATCACAGTACATTGATTTTCTTGTAGTAGCAGCATCTGTTTGACAATTTACACTATTATTTAATTTACAATCCACGTTTTTGTCGTTTGAGATGAACGGCTGACATAAGTTTGAGAAATAGCCGCGATACTGACTTCGTTTTGTTATTCATAATTTAATAAAAGATGGCGGAGTGTACGCACGCGATATTTAAATTTTAGGAAATGTTCCCACAGGTGCGCTCGGGACGTACGATCCGACACAGTCGCTTCCGGCCCGGTACCCCACTTGCCTCGAGTTCTCACCCCCGCCTCCCCTCGCCCTCACTTCCATTTCTCACCCCTTGTTTAACCCCCGCTGCGTGCAGGCATAGAGANTTCATAATTTAATAAAAGATGGCGGAGTGTACGCACGCGATATTTAAATTTTAGGAAATGTTCCCACAGGTGCGCTCGGGACGTACGATCCGACACAGTCGCTTCCGGCCCGGTACCCCACTTGCCTCGAGTTCTCACCCCCGCCTCCCCTCGCCCTCACTTCCATTTCTCACCCCTTGTTTAACCCCCGCTGCGTGCAGGCATAGAGATGTTCCCACACGGTCCGCTAGGCCGTAACGGGTAATTTCGCTTACTTTACCGGCCTAAGTGCGTTTAGAGTACCTTCTCTAGTATGTGTAATTTGCATCTTTACTGACCATTTAACGCTAAGCTAAACTCATTAGACATCTGCGAAGGTCCTCGGGCGGAATGAGAGATATGCAAAATTACGGTTTTAAGTCTGTCATAAATTATGACGAGCCTCACTTGACCGTCCCATGACAAATGATTTAGCCTAGGTAACCATTACTTAAACTTGTTTGAGTTTCTTGGAATTATGGATAACTATTTGCGGCTCGGAGTCGATTTAAAATACGCTTACGTAGTCATAAGCACTTGACACTTTTCGTAATGAGAATATTAAAACGTACACTTTCAAATTAACATGAGGGCATCAATAGTTTGAACTGTGTTTGCGTGTCTCATTAATTCAAATTCAATAAAGCCCATACATACTTTTTAATAGCAGAGAAGCAAACACGTATTGAAGGGAACGATGCTTACTCCATACCTAGTTAACAGTTCAAGGGTTAAGTACCAGTAAACATCTCAATTTCGTTTAATCAATAAGGGAAGGGTTCGGAACGGTTATTGTTTAGAATATTGGTTTTCGAAATAATATTAAACTCTCGAATGCATTTTAATGAATTGATTTTATGAACTTTTTTAATGTTTCACACGGTTATCTGCGTTCGTTCTCGGAACGGTTCAGATTGTTATCTCTCTTGCTAATAGTTCTCTTTTATCTTTGTTCTTTTTTTTATGTTTATATATTTGTTCAGTTCATTGTACGGTCTACGTTTGCATAAAGATATCCTTTGTAGGGAAAATAGATATCTATTTTAAAAAAAAAATGTTATTACACCACTTCCGTGATCGGTATCACTCACGGCTTGGAAATACTCATACTATAATAAAAATTTACAAAATGATTTTTTTGTGCTATTTTATATGAATTTCGAAATTGTATTGCTAAATTGATCCAATGAACGAAAATAATCCTTAAAAGTTAAGTGCGATGAGCTCAAACATCGTCATCACGATTTGTAAAATTTAAAAAAGGAAAGCAAAACACCATGACGTACTAAAAACTCCAATAAATTTAACACTAGCAACAATTTATTTGACAAAAATCGTTAATCCCATTACTACCACAGATTAAACTAAATTATATGATGACTACAAGACGTTTGAGTTTACAACAACGAAGCTTTAGAATTTTAAGTGGATAGTTATCAAGTCATTATTGATTCAAAGGCTGTAAAACTCAATTTACCGACTAGGAACGATGATCGGAGCCCTTGGCAGTCGGTACTGTAGCGTTCTTTTGTATGTAATGTATTCAATGAGCCCAGTTGATTCGGTCACGTCAATATTGGAGCACAATGGATAAATAAAACGCAATCAAACTTGTAATACATGTATGAATTCGAAAAGAAGACTTGTTTTATTTTTCTTAGAGTTATATTCACATAAAAAGTAAAATTCGAAGGTATTTTACACGAAGTAAGCATTGCTTTGATGTGCCTTTTGCGCGAATGTAAAACATGTTGTAAAACAATCGTAAATATGAATGCTTCGTCTAATCGTAAATATCCCGATCGGATTTTAAGACACGGATTTTATTGAAACGTGTTACACAGCTGAAAGTCTCTGATCATTTAATTTACTGTAGCACAGACGTATTGTGTGATCTTTGCATTGAGCTCGCTGTAAACAAGTCCTGTGCAACATTATCGTATTTTATCTAATATATTTCATTTTGATATTAAAATTTAATACAAGCAATTTTAGTGGTAAACTCGTTTGAGCACGATGATAAAATGTCCAGTATTATCTGACAGTTCTTTTTTTATTTAAAGAGTAAATACATGAGGCTCTTAAGCGTGATGATATCAAAGACTTTTTTGAAATAATGTTTTGTTTTCATGTCGAAAAACATAGATTGACATTAAAAAACAGGGACATTAATTATGCAAAAAATTCTCTGTCTGACGAAACGTCGGTGCGCTCATAAAGTTTGAACTTATCGTGTTCGTTTTTCTTTTGAAGCTCAGTATCTTGCTTAGTATTCTCTCTATTGTAGCATGATTTATGTTCGACGGAGTGTATTCAATTGTGGATATACGTACATATGTATGTGTGTATCTGTGTGGTTAATCGCGCGTTGAGGAGCCGAGATTGGCCGGGTCGCGGGTCAACTAACTCGATTGTCGCGCCCAATTTGTCCCCACACACGGCTCAATGAAGCTGAGATGTAACCGTTTTGTCATATTATACTTAGCTTTATTCCAATTGAAACTTTTTGATGAATATTTCTATAATATCAGGTCTATCAATATTTCGTAGTGTAAAATTAACTTGAAAGCATCATCACCATTGTTTGAGGGAATTTACTTTACGCATATTTTATTTTATGAAATGCTTTGTTGAAAAATCAGTTTAAAAATCGACTAATTATTTAATAAATTGACAAGTTCTTGACGAAGTATGCAGTCGAGAGTGTCGTGCGTCTTAAATTAGTTGTTAGAATCAGTGAGATAAGCACTAACCGCTTAGAGTTAAATCAATTGCAGGCCGGGATCAACGGGGGTCAAGACAAGTCCCTGGTACTGGACACCCGCATCTCTTTGTATAAACTAAATTAATAATACCAATATGTCTAAATTGAGTGGATTTATGAAAACTGCAGGGGTCTCTCGTGTTGAACAACTTTCGAATGGGAATTTAATAAGCAATGAATTCAATCTATTTTAAATGAAAAAAAAAAAAGAAATGTAATAACTATTCTCATTCTCAATAATGGTAATTTATGAATTTTTTTGGATATATGTGATATGTCATATCTCATTTTTTCAAATGAATATTTTATTTTAATTGGGCACATATTATAAAGCTATGATCGAAATGCTGAATGTATGTTTAAAAAAAACCTTTCATGGCAAAGGTATTCGCTTATTCAGTAAGCGTAGCATCGCGTTCCCGCGGCGCGTATCAATGCTTGTTTTGATTTCGCTCAAACTTCTCGCGAGATTTTGCGAGGTTTTGCACGGACAAACAAACATTGCGACAATGGACGCTTCGTCGAATCGTGTGACGTCCAACGCGATGCCAATGTGAAACAATGCGGCTTGTATAACAAGAACGGAGAGGACAACAATTCGGCGTGTCTGTTCAGTAGGGCTGTGTTAAGCACGTACATACTAAAAAAAAATGATGCGTGTACTTATGTATGCGCGTAAGAAGTTATACTTTATTGTTATTAAATTTATTTCTTTTTTTTTAAAATATTAAATAATTAATAATAAATATTTAACGTTAATAATTTAATAATATTTAGTATGAATTATATTAAATAATAATTTTGTCATTTATATTACTAAGAAATGAATGCTAATAACACTTTTTTTACGAGTGTACATGCGCGAAAGTTCACCTGCGGCTATATTCAGCCTCGCCAAGTTACGTCGGTCGTATTGCAATGAGCGATTTAGTGGGTAACTTCATTCTGTTAATTTTGTGTCATGGTGCGCGTGCATCGTAAAATTTCACTCTCATCAATTTTTCATAACGCGCTTAAAAAAGTATAACTTCAAAAAACTGCAGCTGATCTGAGAAATATTATTTTAAAGCTATTTGATAGCTATTTAACGGCCGTCTGGTGTAGTGGTAAGTGACATGGTCACTACACAAGGGGGTCGCGGGTTCGAATCCCGCCAAGGGAAGATATTTGTATGATAAATATAAATGTCTTTTTCAGGGTTATGGATGTATATTAAATATATGTTTGTGTATAATAAAAATATTACATTTATTTCCGTTATCTGTTACCTGTAACACAAGTTCTTTACGAACTTACCACGGGACCAGTTAACGTGGCGTGATTGTTAGTAAATATTTATTTATTTATTATATATTATGAAATTTGTCCTAATGTCGTCAACCTTAACTATAAATAATGGTATGGAGTATACCAAAGTTATAACACATTTTGCGTTATGTACATAATAAGTGGCGTACAAATATTTGACTCTATTATCATATTTAAGCGAATTAGCGTGCTCAGTTCGCGCTCTTTTGTTAAAACTATCGCTTACGAGCCTTTCCCCATTTCTAATTGATGAGCTAATAGTGATAAAATTTGAGTTATTATCCATGTTAATGTTTTTATTTGCTTCGAGCGTGTCAAAAACTATTGGCATTAGGTTCTGGGCGAGTAAATTTATTATCGTGAGAGATATTTAAGCACTTTCAAGACACTGATAATTGCGTCAGAAGTTTGATTATTTAAAAATTTCGAACGATTTTTTTAACTAAATAAAAAGTTTGGAGTTTAATTTTTTAGTTGAATTTAATTTTATTTAAATTTTTTTTCTATTTTTTTTTTAAATATTGAATTGTCATCGGTTCTCGATAAATCTACAAAGTTTGGATGAAATCCGGCCGTTTAATGTGGGTCA